TACATCACAACATTGTGATCTCCTTAGAGAAAAGGGGTCAGGTATGTACGTTGTATCTTCCTCGACTATACATCTGCTCTTGACTCAGTAGCCAGTTGCCTTTTGTTAATTAAGCTTTCCCTTACGCAAACTGAGTCCTGGTTGGTTAACTGGTTGCATTCTTAATTCCCAAGTAAAATGCTGTATATTGAGTATATAGCCGAATCTTTCTCTACCTTGCTTACTGAGACTGGTGTTCCTCAGGGTGCTGCTCTCTCTCCTTTTCCTTTTTCTTACATGACTTACTTCTTTCTAATGAAATTAACTTCGTTAAATACACTGATGATCTGACCATCTCGTCTCTTCTCAAACCCAATCTGACTGTTGCGAAATTAATTGTTTTTGTTGGATATCAGTCAATGGTGTAAGCTAAATGGTCTTACGTTAAATCACTTAGAATGCCAGACTATTGACTTTTCCATTAGACATAAACGTGATCTACACGGACTGGTCAGTACACATGATGCGTGTAGCTTAGTGGGAACTCTGCGTCGGTGGCACAGTGGTTAGACTCTCGCCAACCATGCACATGGTCCGGGGTTCGAGCCCGCACCGACGCACATCTGATATCTATGGTCGGCCTGCGAAATTTGGGCTACCGATATCCATGCTGAAAATTTCATACTTGTACCGAAAATACAATGTGGAATCAAGCTGTAAATCAAAAAAAAAATAGAAACTAGGTCTAACACAAAATACTTCGGTATTATTATATCCTCTGACCTTATCTGGTCATCCCATGTTTTTTCGGCCCCCGAGATAATGTTCCATTTAAGCTACTACATTAAGAAGCTAAAACAATCTGGAAACACTCAACCTCTTCTCTCACAATTTGTTAACTCGTGTATATTACCTACTATACTTTACTGCTCTCCCTTAGTCTTTCCTGGTCTACTGAAAAGGACTATGTCATTTTGAGAAGGGCATTAAAGGTTGTCAGTAGAGCAGTGGTGTGAAACTTGGTCAGCTTGTTACTACATTAACTGGTGGATGATGGTGACTAGCAGTGGAATCCAGGATGCGCATTTCGTCCTATTTGGGACTCGTCAGCTGGATGTACCTGCATTTCTCAGTGAGTTATGACGTTCCCACCGAGGCTCGAACCCAGTACCATAGTTTCAAACGCCGAAGCGTTATCCACTAGACCAGTTGGGACACGAGAGCCACCTCTTGTGCAACGGGTCATATTAATTATTAAATTGAATTTTTGATTTTCCCGTAGATTGATTGGACCGAAGTGCTCGGTCTCAGGTTGACATGTCGGCTTCTTGTGCAGATGCTTCGACGATGTCTGGAACACGAGGTGCTGTAATGGGTACTTTGGTTGGACACTAGTAACTAGGAGACTATCGGTGGTGGTTTTTTGGCTTCCGTCGTTTTTAGTGGACACAGAGTGAAGAGGGAGTGAGGAGTCATCAAGTAGAGGAGTTGCATCAGTGGGAGGAAGGCAAGATGATAGGGATGAAGATGAAAACAAAGATGAGTGAGTAATAGAGAGGTTTCGTGTGCATTTCGGATTGTGAGGGCGTTTGTTACTTCCCGGCTGCCCACACCGTGGAAGTTGGTTGCGTGATCGCAGAGGCCAGGGGACAACTGCTTGAGGCCGGTCACACGCGGCCTGTTTTTGTTTGTTCTCTTTTGTTTGGTGTGCATCAGTAACATACTTATCACTCCTGCCCTGTGACACGGCAGCAGGAAGCGCGGTCGTTGTTAATCCGGGCCACGGCCGATCCGGCATGAAATTTTGTGAATTTGTTTAAATCATGGTATTGGATGGGGTAGCTGCCTTTTGCTTAACCGCTATCCAAACAACCTGCCTGGCATGGTAGAACCTCAAGAGACATAAGTCTCAGCCAGTATAGCTTGAATAGATCATTGCGGTGTTCAAGCCCGACCACCACGTCAAGGTAGCAGCAGTAACTAGTGCGACGTGTCTAGTTTAATATCATCAAATCAATGTGCACAGTGATGGTGAGCTACCTAGAATGGTGGCCACGCTGCAAACCTGACTGATAGAATTCAGTTTGTACCAAAGAAAGGATTAGACACGTCGCACTAGTTACTAGTATCCAGTCAAAATATACATTTATGTATACTTGGAAATGCAAATATGCTCCATCTAGATCCATTGTTATACAATCTGGCATGTTGGTATCAAACATCCTGCGAACCTCCTAGATGTAAGGTAATTACATGCAGCAGTTAGTCTCCGAAGAACAATTTATTATTTTATTCTATTCCTTTGCATTCCCAGTGGAACATACGGCTTACAGCTTGATTTTTGAAGTTTCAGTAGTAGGACTGACGACAGATTAGCGAAGGTTTAGATATGCGCTGACCAGAGATGGAACCCCAGACAAAAAGGTGTAGTCAGCGAACATCCCTACCGCTACACCACCGACGGCATAACTTTCATTTTTGTGTATTTATTAAACACTGCTGTTAATTTTCTACCAGAATGTTTAATTCATTCGCATTGGTGTTAGGTAATCGATTGAATAGCGTCCATGCGTCTTAAGATGATATCCATTTTCTTGGCGTTACAAAATGTAAATATTCTGATCAGATCAAGCACCTACTACTGCATGATTCATATCTTTTCTACAACCTCCTCCAGTTATCTAATTGCGGATAGCCAAAATGAAAAAAGTTTGAGGAGATGCATGCGAATATCGACATTTTGCTTGAAGCCTCAACATTGTTCACTTTTGAGGTGAACTCTAATTTCTGAGGCTCTAATTTTGACAGTTGAATCGATAAGCTTGATTACCAAACATATATCACTATAAAGTTCTGGTTTGCAGGGACTTCATTTGTCCCAGGTTTCATCATCAGCTGATATCAGCCAGAGGACCACTGGAAAACCAGCATAGAGTACTCAACCTAGTTTGGGACTATTCTGCAGTACGCTTTCAATGAAGTTCGAACTCAGGACATTTCTTTTACAGCTTTTGTACGCAACTGAAACTATGGGAATCTGAAGGAATAACTCTAATTTAAGCACTCAAAAGATACTTTTTCCCATCTCTTGTCTCTTACTCTGATGAAATAAACTTTGTCAAGTATGCGGACGATCTAACTATTTCAATTTGTGTTAACTCCCAGCTAGACTGTACTAAGATGAACAGCTTTCTATCAGGAGTCAGCAAATGGTCTTCGTTTAACGGTCTTAAACTAAATGCTTCCAAATGTCAGACTGTTCATTTCAGTTTCCGGTGTAAACGAAAGTTAAATGAAGCTGTTGGCTCCTATGACCGTTGCAAAATTGATAATAGTGATATAGAAACCAAGTCTTCCCATGTCTTAGCGATTTCTAAAAGAATATTTCGTCTGACTTTTTACGTTAAGAAGTTAAGGCAATCACACATAACTCATCGCCTCCTCTTACAGTTTGTCAACTCGTGCATCTTACCTATTCTTCTTTACTGTTCACCCTTATTCTTTCCTGATTGCTTGAAAAAGACTATGTCATACTTCGTAGAACTCTGGGACTCTAGTAGAGCGACTGGTTCCCCATTGGACCATATCGCTGACATCGTCATTGATGATAGGCACTTGATTTCATGCAACAAATTTGCTAAAGGAATTTTGTCAGACTGTGAGCATCCACTGTACCCGCAACTCCAACCTTGTGTCTCTTCAGGTAAAACAAGAAGTCTTTTCAGAAGACTTTATGCACGTACATCTAAGTATAAAAATTCCACTATACCATATTTGGCACATACTTTATGTGATGAAAATAGTGTTAGCCTTGAAGTAACTAACCTTCTTTGCACTACTAAATAAACCATTTCCTCCACCTTATAACACCAACCTTTATTGTTATTGTACTTGTTATATTCATAATCCTCTCCATTTTTTTTGTTTATTTTTTTCATAAGTGTGAACATCATTCAAACTGTGTTATAACTGTTAATTTTGTCTTTCCCTCACCGTACTATATCAACAGAACGCTGGATTCAATTATCTATAACATGCTAAAATTTCCAAACTGAATCGACCATTCTCCGACTCTACGGCTTACCAAAGGTGCACAAACCTGGCTTGCCGCTTCGACGGATTCTAGACATGTCAGGGTCACCATACCATCCAATGCTGTTTGAAACAAACCAACTGTTATTATTATTATTATATGTAATATTCTCAATTCGCGCTTTGAATATTTTTGACTTTATATCGTAAATGTGGACGAATTCCTCCGGTTAATTTTGCTTTAATTTTTAATTTTATTTATATTTTGACAAATGCTGAGAATTCCATTCTGTATAATAAGTACTGTTTTTCGAATTTAAGTAAATTGTTATTATTATTACTTTGCTTCTATAACTTGTAAGTTTGATTATATTGGATCTCTATTTGAAGTCAGCTTGTGATCACACATAAAACCAATCAAATCCCTGTGAACGATAGCTAACCTGATATCCACTGGGGACTGGATCTATCTGGAAAGTTACTTGGACTTTGTAGTGAGAAGTGGTGCTCACTGGCCTCCATCAAGTCAGGTAAGAGAACAGTTTCACTCCAATCCAATCGACTCAAGGCTATGTCAGATATATCACGAATTAGCGGAATTTATAATTCATGAGTCACCAGATAGTGTCTCGATGGCTGAATAGTCTATGAGCTCGAGTTGTATAACTGGGAGGCCATCGGTACGAACGCCGGAGGATGGGTACTGCTGAAGGACCCCTGACTAATACGAAACAGCTATCCAGTAGTCCCTGTTTTTCAAGCGGTTCTCTAACTTATATCGGTATATGACTCACCAATCTGATCTGCTATTCGGTATAAGGTTGACTTCCGTTTAAGTTTATCAAAATACTCAACAAAATACGGCACTTTATTTGTTTACTACTTACAAAAGAAATAAGTAGTTGAAAAAATAAGAAAAAGAAGAAATATTCGCCAATGTGATCATCATGAAATCTCACAAAATGCCTCAGCTTTTGAGACGAAAATTAATCATCCCTGAACACCATCGACACCACTTTTGGACAGTTTATGACTTGCAGTTGAAAGGAAGGAAGAAGAATCTTCGGGTTATATTCCACTCTCCTGCATAGCTTTATCTTGCATTGCTAATTGTAAACGTCGTTTTATCTTCCTAGCCACATTTTTCTCTTTTAACATTTGAAGGTGGGCTACACTACAAAAGTAGGGTATATATAAGCAAAGATACTGGGTGACTAAGTCAATCACTTCAGCAATAGTATAAAATGTTACTCCAACATATAGACCAGATATACCGCCAAGATCACTGATAAATCGTGCCATATAATATCCAGGTCCTTCAATGATCTGTTGACGAAAAAATAAAGGTAACGAGATAATTGTAGGCATTAGTGAATTTAAAAAGAAAACATGTCGTCATTAAGATGACGACGCCAAGCCGTCAACCATTCAGCAACTTGGCCAGGGAACCAAATGGCTCATGAGTTATAACTCCTGTCATTTAGCGACTTTAGCCCGACTATCAGCCTATATCATCGGTGAATATATGTCTTAACATCCGATCAGATGGATTCTACTGGCCAATGCTACTGGCATTTCTGACGAGGGTAGTGGTTGAGTGTTGCTGAAGAGTCCTAAATGAGGACAAGACAGCGTCAAATACTCTTTGGTACCCAATGGCTCTCTAACTGAGATCAATCCGAGATCTATTCCCTATAATCCAACACTTTTGAGAATTGTCATTTAGGATTGTTAACAAAAGCTAGTGGGGAAAACCTCTCAGAGAAGTGAGATACTTGTTTTAGTGTTTACTTGTGGTCTGTATTTGTTGTTGTAATGACACTGTACAAACGTATTCCACATTGGCTTACTTCTTGCTTTGATCTATGACTCTTATGTTTCTCATGGGTTGACGCAATCGATTTCTGTGGATATGTATAGCGATTACAGATGAAGCTGAGTAATCGAATCGGCAAAGTTAAACTTTCGACACCACTAACAACCAATCAGCAAAGACCTTGAACGGACCGATCATATTAAATAGGCATATATGATGAATGGAAACGTATATTTATAGAAGAAAGCATAAAAAAGGATAAAAAGGTTACAAGGGGTATCTTTCTCGAACATGTGAGAGAAACATCTCCCAGTTTAGCATAAGACTGTCAATGGAGAAGTCACACCACATCGTGTACTTATATTCATCTGAATGCCGGTAAATGAGATCCTTTTCAGATCCATTTATAGCCCTTATCTTGTTTTTCAAGCGGCCCCGTAAACCTTCAGTGGAATTCGTATGAGTCCTCGTAGCGGCATCCACACAGCAAACAAGTGATTGTCTCTATTTTACACGAAGCAATATCTCTGCAATGCTGGTACCACTAAACTGTTGAGACAAGACTATTCTCAGTCTCGGCAGCTGCTGCTCTCACCGGCTGTTTCAACACCCAGTAATTGCAGATATACAAAATTTGGGTTCGGGAGAGATGTGACCTAGCGGGAAAATTTCCACGAAATATTAAAATTATCAGCTTATCCGCTCTAATGTTAGCACGCTTCAAACACACAGCACAACGATGAACAAACCCATCAGTTGATCTGCGCTATAGCTTTTTAAAGTCATGATGCCAACACACGAACAAGTTCGCTCCTTCCGGAGCAACCTTAAATCCAGGCAATACTGGAAAACACTGTACTCCTCGAATTGCAACAGTAATCTTGTAAGGTCACGCATTAGAAAAGAATCAAGCGCTCTACAGCATTGAACTGCGTTCGTGAATCCCATTGGATAATTCGCTGATTGGTAGTTAGTGATGTCGAAAGTTTAACTTCGCCATCGAATCAATAAGAAAGTGCCATTTTATCTCATCTAGTGGATGGTGAAACAATAACCAGCACCAATCACCACCAACGGGATAGCCGTAACAGAGGTTGCCTCCTTCACTTATCTGTCCAGGAATCCTCGTTTCAACTACAGGCAGTTGGAAAGGATGAAGATGTCCAAGTCAGAATCGGAAAGGCAACCTAAAACCAGTTTGAAAATCTTCAGAGCTCAACCAGCATAAAGAACAAGATTCACATTCTGTTCAACACAAATTTGAAGGCAGTCTGTTCTTCTATACGGGTCAGAAACTTGTACTGTATGTCACGAAAATATCACCAACGGATGCAGACATTTTCATCAACAGCTGCCACCGCCACTGACTGGCTCCATACTAAAGATCAAATGACCGGCCAGAAAGAATAAGCAACAAGAAACTATGGGAACTAACCAACAGGCGAGAGCCGATTGCTCAACAAATATGTAAGAGAATGTGGAGATGGATTGATCGGGCATACATTGAAGAGGCCACCGAATGACATCGCACATCAGGCTTTCGAGTGGAATCCCAATGGGAAGAGACGAGTTGGTCGTCCTACAGTGATATGGAGGAGATCGTGTGGTGAGGAAGAGATGAGAGAGTATGGTCAATCGTGGAGCCAGCCAGCTGAAGAGGCTGGCAGAAAACAGAACGAAGTGGAAGCGTGTTTGTGGTGATTGACAATTTCTATCTCTGTATTGTTTAAATACTTACTGTTGATTGTTAATTTTTCTTATATGAATTGCATAATAATTCCGCTAAATACAAATTCCTGAATTCCGCCCTCTCTGTTTTGGTTGGATTCGTGTAGTTCCGTCATCTCGAAATACTAATACTACGATTACAATAAATCACTACAAATTGGCGTCGCGATGGAACTAAATAACCTGGGAAAATTCCCCATTAATGGGTCTCCGCGGGGATTGCTGATTATTTGGAATGCTTTGATGCGTGGTGCATTTCAAAGAATGGTCGGGATGACAAAATACCTGCTCATTTCATCACTGCTATTGGGCTTGATGCATATAGCCTAGTGAAGAATCTGGCGTTTCCAGATTCACCCATTTCTCTGCCATATGCTAAGCTCCGTGAACTTCTTATAGATCATTTCATATAACTACTTTTGAGACAAAACAGAGAGGGCAGAAATCAGGAATTTGTATTTAGCGGAATTATTATGCAATTCATATATGAAAATATTAACAATCAACAGTAAGTATTTTAAACAATACAGAGATAGAAATTGTCAATCACCACAGTGTTGTTGAAGCCCTATGTTCCACTTGTAATGCTAGGGAATAATAAAAAAATAATAAAAGTGGATGGTGAACACCGCAACAAAATCAATGAGCCATTTACAATTGTGTATTGTATACCAAAGAATCTGCCTAAAGGTACGCGATCATGTCTCCTAGCTATAATTGAAGCTATAAGGATTGATAAGAATTAAACTAGCCAGTGTGTACAAAGAAAGTTCATTGATTCACTTTGTTTACTCTAGACTATGATAAAGTCATCAGGAACGTGATCATCTCATATTTTCACGTCTCAATGTGCCTTTCTTATTTTTTTTTTGACATTTCCGTTATTATCTACCAGCCTTTGAATCCACCCTAATCCTATCTTGTCTCTATTATTTGATTAAAGTTCACCAGTTTAACCTCTTTATTTTATCACTGCATTTGTTATCTGTCAATCGTCAAAATTACATTTAGTGTGACACATTCATTTGTTAATGTTTTTGCAGTATTCATATTTCTCACATTTCGTCCTATTTGGGACTATTCGGATGGATGTATACGGGAATGCAGGTACACCTAGGTGAAGAGTACCAAATAGGGATGAAACAGGCATGCTGGATTCCAATGTTATACTCACCGCCAAGAGCAGACATCGTTGACAAGCATCCGTACTAGGAGCCAGCGCGTCAATATAGATTGAGAATTTCGCTCAAGCATATAATGAATTAACGGAAGAAATTTGTAGGAGGCCACCTATTTCACTGATCTAAGAAACAGTGTTTCAGATATTACTGAGAAGATTTATAGCTCAGGTGGATGATTTTAATGTAGTTGTGTTCTCTAAGCTGGATGGCGGTTTATTTGTAAAGCTTTCACTGCCTCACCTACTGGGCAACATCTTCAGCGCATATTTCAATTTGTTGAAATGAGCTTTTAGATTTCTCCACGAATTTATTATCATCTCTCCTGGTGACCTTGAACAAGTTAAAGGAACACCCATGGGATCGCCACTAACAGGTTTGATTTCAGAATTCGTGATACAAAGGCTCGAAAATATAATCCTACAGAAGATCAAACCCGAAATTCGGATACGCTACGTCGACGACACATTTCTAATAATCAAAAGAAACGAGTCAGATAAAACTCACAACTTAATAAACAACATCTTCAAGGACATCAAATTCTCAAGAGAAGACAAGTTTGAGAACCAAATCCCATTTCTGACCTCTTAGTCAAACGAACAATCACAGGAGAATTAGAAACACAAGTTTATAGGGAAATTAGCCCACGCAGATCAAATACTCAATTACAACGGCAACAATCCAATAACACACAAAAAGAAATTGTATACAAACACTGTTCAAGAGAGCCAGCCAGCCAGCCAGGACTAATTGAAGCACTCCCACCTTAGGGAAATCTGAAGAAAGATATCTCATGGACGTCTTCCAAAAGAGTGGATATCAACGGAACTTCATCAAAAGACATATGCCCCAAAGCCGACCTACCAAATCAAAGGTCGCCAAGGAAAATGCCAAGAAAATCGCCCTACCATATATATAAAAAAAACAACTTAAAAGTCACTACAAGATTCTTCACACCTTCAGGAATCGGTGTCACACACAAACCAACAAAAATCACTTCACTCATCTGGCTCTGTGTCGACCAAAAGACTCAACAATGGAAGAAGATAAAACCAACATCACCAACAAAATAAGTTGCAATAACTGCGTAAAACACTACATTTGCCATAGGGGACATCCCCTTCGCCTTCGTATCCATGAACATAAACTAGTCGTCAAAAGATATGACATTTCCTTCCTGACATCGCTGCATACAGACAGCCACGGACATTAATTCGACTGGGACAACCAACGTTCAAATATTATATGACAGAAAAAGGGGTTATTAAGTGGAACTAAATAATTGCTCAGTCAATGTACGTGTATATGTGATAAAAGTTATAAGGGGTGGAGGTGAAGTGGATAAATTACAAAAATATTAAAGATTGTTCTATAACAAAATGTCAAGTGTTGTCTAAAAAATTTTGAAAATTAGGAGTACGATTACGATAAGAATGAAGATGTGAAGTGAAGTGGAAAGAATTCAAGTGGTAAAATAAAATAAGATAGAAACTAGAAAGAACATTATTATGACCAAGGTAAAGAAAGAGGTTTGATAAAACGCTTTTGAACACATAATTTAGGTTTCTGTTCATGTATAGCTAAAGCTTCGGCTAGCTATGCATAAGTGAAGAAAACGTAAACTTTTGGATCGATTCGATTTTGCCAAGTAGATAACTTTGAAAGATGAATCACGTGGGGCTAAATGACCAGACTCTAACAGGTGATCACAAATAGACGACTTTGCAGTTCTACGTTCGCCTTTCATTAACCAAACCGGATAGTGTTCAGCTACACGTTTTCGGAGATTACGCTTACAACGTCCAATATAAACAGCTCCACAAGAGCAAGTAAAAGAGTAAATGCACATAGATGTGGACAAAAGCGGTAATCTATCCTTGACGCATTGTCTGATCATATTTCGGCTGGTAAAAACTAGTTGCAGGTCAGCTGCGGGAAAAGTGCGTTTAACACATTTAGATAAACGATTTTTAATCAATTCTGAAATGGTGTCACCTTTGAATGCAAGACTCATAAACAGCTTTTTCTTTGGTACTGTGACTTGTCTCGGGGCGGATTCTTTCTTGATGTTACGTTCAATTAACCTTGTGGGATAACCATTGTTAAGGAGATTTGATCGAAGGTTATCTAGTTCCCTATCGATTGTCTCTGCAGAGCAGATTTTACGTACTCCTAATTTTCAAAATTTTTAAACAACACTTGACATTTTTGTTATAGAACAATCTTTAATATTTTTGTAATTTATCCACTTCAACTCTACGCCTTATGACTTTTATCACATATATACGTACATTGACAAAGCAATTATTTAGTGCCACTTAATAACCTTTTTCTGTAATATAAATACGACTGTACAGCTTGAAAATGAAGTCGTTGAAAAGAAATTTCTTCGCTGAACAAAAACTGTGTTTTTACTTATGAATAAATGGGTATTTTTCGAGGTTCAAATATTAGACAGAGGAAACACCAAGAATGTTAGAGAATTTTTAGAAGCCAGCCTAATATTCCAGTGAATCGTCGATCAATAGACACATCGACATAGACAAAATTTACCAATCAATAAGAAGGGTAAAACTTCACGTCAAGGAAACAATTAATACCAATACAAGTAGCCTAAAGGATGCGAAATCAAGACCAGGTCACCAGGAGAGATGACTAACAAACTCCTGGAGAAATCTAAAAACTCACTTCAATTCAATTGAAGTATGCACTGAAGATGTTGCCCAATAGGTGAGGCAATGAAAGCTTCGCAAATAAACCGCCATCTAGCTCAGAGAACACAACAACATAAAAAAACAGCATTCCAGCTACATACGTCACCGATGAAGATGTTAAAGCCAGACAAGATTGGAAAGCCAAGACAAACATTCAATAATCTGAAATCAATGTGGAATCTACTGTGATCAGCTTGAAGAACAGGATTCAGATTTTCAACATTAATTTCATATATTTCAAACATATAGTTCAGAGAGTTAAGGCGTCACAAGTGCATTTCACAAATATTCGTCACCAGATGCCTTTGTTCCACACCGAATATCGAATAACCCCGGTAAGAAAGCATGACCTAGGAAGGAATTCTATGAACAAACCAACAAAGAACCTATTGTCCAATAAATATGCCAGAGAAAATGGAGAATAAATGGACACATATGCTGAGGATCCTGTTGAGTGAAATCACGCAGTCTTAAATGGAACGGAAATCGGGAACGGCAAGTTGGGCATGCATCCGAGAGTGACATGAGGAGGGGGTTTACAGCCTACGGGCAATCATGGAGATATCTGAAGACAACTTCAGGGAACAACAGGGAAGTGCAGATATGCTGTTAAAGCTCTTCTATGTTCTGCTCGGAACCTAGGGGAATAATAACCAACAAAAGGGGAATTCAAATCAATTAACTTTAAAAACATGTGAGTCGCTTATTTGTTTAGAATTTCGGTAAATGTTTTTGGTCTTTTCTGTTTTTGATTTTTTTTGTTTTTAATTGCTTACCTGATTAACCATTTCATTGACAGGATGTATATCAATAAATATTAAGTCTTCGGCTTTCAATAATGGACTATCTGCTTTCACATAGGAATCATTGATACCATTCAATTGAAGCATTTCTAAATAGGGAATTAATGTTTTCGGATCAATATTTTGTACAGTTTTTGTACGTATAGTAGAATGTATATTATTTAGTCGACGTCTACAACGCAATGGGCAATTGATTATACCATCACCTGGAACAGATGGTTGAATACGTTGAAGTACCTTTGACAGATAAAAGAAGAATATAAAAAAGCGAAAAAAAACATAAAATGGACTAAATGAACTATTGAAATGATAGAAAAACAAAGTAACATAACATAACATAAGCTTTATTCCAAATCAGTACTTGTGATACAGAATGGAATTCTCAGCATTTTACTACAATATTGCATCCAGTTTTTTACATTAACAATAAATAAAGTTCTACATAGATTAAAGTTATCTCAACAACATATTAGTATGTCGGTAGCAAAGCCAAAATTAAAGTGTTTGAAGGTGTTAGAAAAGTAGATACTACTAGCATATTTACTGGCGTAAGCGATAGCAAAATGGTCGAGATATACAGAGTGTGAAAGAACGAACAAGAATGTTTTAAGTAGAGTTTGCAAGGAAGAGAGAAACAAAACAGCACATAACAAAAATAAATACAGAATGAAGAGCGAGAAAACGTTGTACCTATAAATGATGTGAGTTGGAAAGACGAGATCCATTGGTTCTACTGACTATTTAATAAGTTAAAGGTTTCATGCCTGATGCATTCTTTATCGCACAGAACACGGGCTAGGTAGGGTATGGATGAGTTTTTGTACTTACTAGTGCGGGCATATAGTTTCCTATATAGGCTTCTTGTTTTCCCTGAAGAGATACATGGGGAGAGTTGTGAATGTAGAGGGTGTTGTGAGTCAGATAAAATGGATTTCGCCCATTTTTCACATGAGTCCATATGCCTGTCCACCAGAATATTAACAAGCTGGCTAAGTGGCAAACTGCTTACCCTGCTGACAACCTTTAACATCCTACGTAATAAGGTATAGTCTTTCTTCAATAGCCCAGGAAAGACTAAGGGGGAGCAATAGAGAATAATAGGCAGAATACGGGAGTTAACAAATTGTAGGAGTAAGGGTTGGGTTACACCAGAATGTCTTAACTTCTTGATGTAGAAGGTAAGACGGTATATTTTCTTGGAAATCGTCAAGATATGAGACGACCAGGAAAGATCAGAAGATAGAGTGACGCCTAGGTATTTAATTTCCGACTTGGTTTCTATTTCACTGCCATCTATGTTGCACACCTCGTGAGTGCTAACCAGTTTGTTTAGGTCAGATTTATGCCTAAGGGTGAAATTAACTGTTTGGCATTTGGAGGGGTTTAAGGTTAGACCGTTTTCCTTGGACCATTGGCTAATTTCCGATAAGAAGCCATTTAGTTTAGAGCAGTCACTTTGACATTTGACAGGTAAAGATACAGTTAGGTCATCAGCATATTTGACAAAGTTAATGTCATTTGAAGACGGTAGGTCATGTAGGAAGAAAGAAAAGAGAAGTGGGGAGAGTACAGCACCTTGGGGGACACCAGCTTCTGTGAGCACAGCAGAGGAGGATTGGCCTTTGTATACGGTGTACTGCATTCTGTTTGAAAAGTAGGAATGCAACCAGTTAGTGACCCAGGACTCGGTTTGTGTCATGGAGAGCTTATTTAGCAAGAGACTTCTAGGTACAGAGTCGAAAGCAGAAGTAAAGTCAAGAAACGTGCAGCGGACATATTTGGCACCTTTGTCTAAGTAGTACATTAACGATTTAGCAAATTACATGAAATATCCCAGTGTAATTCGTTTAACAACGGTAGTGTGTAATTCCATGATAATATTTTCATTGGATATATTACTAATGTTAAGTAAATCCTTCTATATGATGTAGAGACTTTGTGTATGAGTTACCGAAACGCATTTCCAACAGGTTACACTAAAGACTCCTGTAAAACAGCTGCCACCTAATCTCCACGCTGAAGATCAGATGGTCAGGCGGAAAGAAAGTCTGATAACGAAAGTACCAAACACCTATCAGCCAATACATATATTGAATTAATCTGAGATGACTGGAACACAAGCTGAGAGGATGGTTGATTGACATAACAAGCAAGGCAGGATCTTGAGTGGAACATCAATAGGCAACAGCGAGTTGTTCTCCCGAGATTAGCATGGTGGAGATTGCTGAGAGATGGAGATGCGTTGTTGAAGCCCTATGTTCCACTCAGAACCCAATTTTTATAGTTTGGGGCCTATAACCAGGAAAAGTAACTTGATTCACTCGCTCTGTTTTAGAATAAGGAACATTTGTAGTTCTGATTGCGTTGATTCGGAACTTGACTTCCTAAAAGCCACCCTTGCAGAAAACGGTTACCCGGACCGGATTCATTGACAGTAACATGAAAGACTTTTTGACTATAGCCTGATTCCGCAACTTTATTTTTGGTACAAGTATGGAATTTTCAGCATGTGATATCAGTAGCCCAAATTTTGCCCGCCAACCAATTAATATCAGGTGTGCGTCGGTAGGGGATCGAACCTCGGACCATTTGCATGGTTGGCGAGAGTCCTAACCTCTGTGCCACCGACCTATGCAGTACAAACTGGTCACTGGTTTCGTATAGACTGTACTGTTCCATCGAGTCTCCTTGTTAGTTTCACACAGAGAAAGAAACTTTTCGATTCGTTTTTTAATTTTCAAGAGTGAATTTTATTGCCGAATGGCAGTTACTAAATACCTGTAATAACTGAATGACGTTACAGTTGTTGCCACAAATGGTGAAGATGTTGTCCACATATATCCTATACAGTTGAAAACTATCGGTGGTCGACTTTAATGGGCCTTTCTCGGGGATTGCTGTGAAACAGTCTGCTAGGAATAGATAGGCCCAAGGGAGATCCTATTACAATCTCATCCTTTTGTCTGTAAATGCTGTCAATGAAAGTGAATGGTACATTAAGTGTACACCTCAGTATTATTATTGTTTGCTTCAATTCCTATGGAAACATAGGGCTTCGGCCGAACGTCTTCATTGCATTCGGCCGATCCATCTTCATTTCTCCCTGAATATTTGTTGCACATTTGTTTCCGATTGGGTTGGTTGGTTCGCTCCCAGAGACCCCTCCATGTTGCTGATCTTTTATGGCCAGTCATTTGATTTTGAGTAGTATAGAGTGAAGACAGCTGTTGATGAAGGTCTGTAGATTGTTCGAAGTGGCCTCCGTGACGCGGCGCCAAGTCTCTGATCCGCATAGTATGTAGTACTGACTTCACATCGGAGTTGAAAATCCGGATCTTATTTTCATTTTCATGCTGAGTGCTGTTGATCTCCGCACAGACCACTACTACTTCTGTAAGCGGGACATTGGTAAAAAGTGATTCAGCCTCGAAACACAGCATACTTCTGTTAGTAACTTTCACATATTATATGTAGTGGACAAACTGGAAAGTGTCACGAAACGAGTACATACAACACACAGGTTTCTTCACAAGAAGTCTTGACGATGTGTGAGAATGAACACAATTCTACTTGGTAGATGGCGTTTAAAATGATAAGTGCTACTTTAAGGTTTCAGTGGGAACGCAATCATCATTCAATGGAGGTTGCAGGTATATACAGTGATGAGTCTCACATATGGGACAAAATACAAGACGTAGATTCGACAGTGCTGGGCACTATTAGCCACCAAGTAAGTCAAACAAACATACACACTACTGACAAGTATAAATGAAAAAATACAGAGGATTTGTACATGTCCTCGACGACGCACACCTGATATCTATGGTCGGCCTGCGAAATTTGGGCTACCGATATCCACGCTGAAAATTCCATACTTATACGAAAAAGATGGTGATGGAACCAAGCTGTAATAAAAAATAATAAAAATAATACTGCCAACCGAATAAATTTAAAATATTTTTTTAGCAGCCTTGTTTCAACTACTGGCGACAGGACGAATGAGGATGTCAAGATCAGAATCTCAGAAAGACAAGACAGAACTACATCACTCTGAAATCAGTTTGACAATCTGTTGTACTCAGCAGAAAGAACAAAATTCGAATTTTCAATACTAATTCTAAGTTAGTCACTTCTTGTATATGCATCAGAAACTTGCACTGCGCATCACAAAAAGCATTTCCAGCAAACCACACAGTAGACTTTCATCAATAACTGCCTTCACTGGCTTCACACTGAAGATCAAAATGGCCAGAAAGAATCCACTGTGGTGAGAGCTGTCTGCAAGCCGAAAATTGTAGACAAATTCTAATGACCATTATTAATATTAGAACAAGACACATATAAGCGAACAATATTGTTGTTTTCAATTAGATCTTCTTCAGGCTTTACTCTAATTTACATAGATTTATATATAAAAACAGAATTTAACCAATGACGGTGATTTTGTGGATCAAATAATAATAATGTGGTAAATGTTTTGAACGAAATTAATAACGATGATTATAATGATAACAAAAATAATGATAATAAGGTTTATGCAGGTGGCGATAAGAATAACGAAGGTAGCAATATGTGTGTATATGTAGAAAATTCAATAAATAAATAAATTAGATCAAATCTGAAAAGGTGAAATGGAACGATAATCAGAGTTTAAATAAATATCATAAAAGTACGAAGGAAAGGGATGATAAGAAAGGGTGAGAAGGTTTTGAATAGAATTCACCTAGGCCAGGCAAGGGAGAGACAAAGTTAGAACAAACTTCTTTTGTTGTATGCAAAGACTAGGATTGTTCTCTCGAATTAATTCTCATAGCTTCAGTTAAGTGTAAAAGACGGGTTCTGATTCCATTCGAGAGGCTCGATGGAATGCGATAGATAACTTTGAAGGCACTACTTCTGTCCATTTGGTGACCGCTATCATCAATCAAATGAGCCAAAATATAGCCAAAATAGACCTTTTCTGAACCATGAAGGAATATGCTCATTAATGCGTTTGTTAAGCTGACTAGTTGTTCGGCCTATATAGCTTTCTCCACAGGAGCAACTAAATTTATAGATACACATCGATGTGGCACAGCTAGGTAGGCAGGTTTTCTTTCGTTTGATCAATCATAATATGTCGGCAGCTGGGAAACGATAAACAAACGGGGGTGGCGGTAGTATAAGTCCGTTTTATTGCTCTCGATAATCTCAAATGTAAGACTTCGCTACCCACATTCCCATTAAATTGCAATTTCATGAACAGTTGTTTCTTTTTAACTGTTGTCAGTTTTTCTTTATTGTACCTGGTATTCATGTGTCTCCTTACAAATCTACTTGGACCAACTTATTTTGGATGCATCCCAGCTCATTTTCCAGGGAGTCATCTGTACAGATACGTCTTGCTCTATTCGTGAGGCATTTGACCAAAATCGACTTTGTATCGGATTCGTACAAAACTGAGGAAATGTGTATATTGTCCTACAGATGTAGGTTTTCTATAGAAATCTCTCTTGAGTGAACCATCTTCTCTTCTGTTCAAATGGACGTCAAGGAAATGTAGTCTACCAACATTGGGCGTTAGGCCCATGCTGGAGTGCGACCCCGGTGGGAAGCGGCGATTACGGCGTCTCACCGAGCGTGACGTGGAGGAAATGAAGGCTTACCGGCGATCGTGGGGCCAGCTGAAAAAGACTACAGAGAACGGCACAAATTGGAGATCTGTTGTTGAAGCTCTATGTCGCACTCGGAGCCCAAGAGAATAATAATAATATTATTATTATTATCGTACATACGCATAGCTTACCTCATGATCTGAAAGATTAGCTATTCCATCAGCACATTTTAAAGTTTCCCAAACACGTATCATTTTTGTTGTACTATCCATAATATCATGACACCATACTTGACCGATATTATGCATTGAATACGGGATAGCATATGATTCACTAAAGCATTTACATGTTTCATAGGTTAATTTTTGTCGTAGAACAGCTACACACGCTTGTCGAGTGTATTTAAAGCGTGTTATTCCTTTAGAAATACATTAGAAAAAGCGAATTTTCTGAAAAATGTGGGTCAATTGAACAATTTAGGAAATACATATAAACAATTTAATTCAATTTTAGTATTTTCCAGTGGATTGATTGAACCGAAGTACTCCTCGGTCTCGGGTTAACATTTCGGCTTCTTGTAAAGATACTTTGACGATGTCTAGGCATTTAATTAGAAGTTAATTGATGAATGGTGACTAGCAGTGTGGAATTCAGGATAACCCGCATTTCGTCCTACTTAGGACTCGTCAACTGGATGTACCTATAAACAATTATTGGAAGATATTGGCGAAGATATGCCAAGGGCAACAAAGAGAAGAGAAAGTACCAATAACCATGGAAACAGCCATGGTGTTGAGAGGTAAATTTGATCTTCTAGCCTTAATCTTAAAATATTCCCATTGTTAATATTAGAACGAGACACACAGGCGAGCAATATTGTTGTTTTCAATTAGATCTTCTTCAGATCTTACATAAGTTGATCTATAAAAAATGTAATCAATGACATTGAATTTGTGGATCAAATAATAATATTAAATGGTAAATTTTTCTAACGTCAGTAATAACGATGATTATAATGATAATAAGGTCTGGGCAGTTGGTGATAACAATAACAAAGGTAGTAATATGTATGAGTATGTTATGTACTCGTCGCTAAATTATTGTTATGGACTGGTCGAGAATTTAATGGTCCTGACGCAAGAAGGCGGAAATCAGAAGACCACTAGGTTTGCGATGATACTTCTATTTTCCAAACACAAGGAGAATGCAAAAGTGGTATCACACCAAAGTGGTAAGTGTGTCACACAAATTGTGTGTGCGAAATATATGAATGTTCCAGACAAAGTGTGTGAATAAATCATAAGACAGTCTTAACATGAATGGCTAATTATAATGAAGTATCGATCCATATATACATAGCAAAATATAGCAGACATGTCAACAACCACACATATAATATGGATATATGTCACCAAGCAACGGACTGTCAACAAACACTCATATTATATATAATATAAGGGGAATATACATTGTTAAAGGAGACAGGTTCATCAAAGTGAAATGGTCACAGACTAAGAGAGCAAACAGAGAGACCAACATACACACACATACATAAATATTATATATATATGTGGATACATATCAGAGTATATTTAGACAATTCAATAAATAAATAAATTAGGTCAAATCTAAAAAGTTATGTAATACTAAGGGTGAAGTGGACAGGTAATAAATATCATAAAAAAACGAAGGAAATGTAAAATAAGAAGGGGTGTGAGGGTTTTGATTAAAATTCATGTAGCTCAAAGGAGAGAAAGGTAAAACAAACTTCTTTTGTTGAACGCAAAGACTAGGATTGTTCTCTCGAATTCTCATAGTTTTGGCTACGTGTAAAAGGTGGGTTCGAATTCTCTTCGCAAGGTTCTTTTATGGAATGCGATAAGTAACTTTGAAAGCATGTCTTCTGTCCACTTGGTGACCGCTATCAGTAAAATGAGTCAAAATAGAACTTCTTATTGATTTTACTTAGCTTTTTCCGACTCATGAAGGAAGATGCTCATTAATGCGTTTGTTAAGCTGTCTAGTTGTTCGGCCTATATAGCTTTCTCCACAGGAGCAACTAAATTTATAGATACACATCGATGTGGCACAGCTAGGTAGGCAGGTTGTCTTTCGTTTGATCAATCATAATATGTCGGCAGCTGGGAAACGATAAACAAAGGGGGGTGGCGGTAGTATAAGTCCGTTTTATTGCTCTCGATAATCTCAAATGTAAGACTTCGCTACCCACATTCCCATTAAATTGCAATTTCATGAAAAGTTGTTTCTTTTTAACTGTTGTCAGTGTCTCTTTATTATACATCGTGTTCATGTGTCTACTTACAAAATTACTAGGATAACCCATTTGAATTAGAGCACTTTGAGTGTATCCTAATTCATTTTCTGAGAAAGTTAAGTTATAATGAAAACATTATAATCAGCAGGCTCGATAAAGAGGCCCATGTACTACTGACGAGTAAGTGTGTTAGTACGTTGACAAAAGAAATTCGCTTTCAACCGATGAAACGAAATTTCATAAGTTTAACAAATCAACAGATCTAGACGGAAAGGCTGAAAAGCAACTAACAAGCATCCTTAAGGGGGGTTGGGGAAAAGTGGAATAACCTCAGAGGCAGCCTACAACCGTATTAAACCTACCAGAAGTAATACTTCACTATTGTCTGGTTTGTCAAGTTAAACGTTAAGCACTAAGGGAGTGTGACTGCACCAATGACCCCGTAATGAGCAGTCAGCAAGTTAATAAAACCTGTTAAATAACACCATAATCATGAGTAAAATATGAAGTGCTATGATATTAAACAGGAGATCTGGTGTAGTTTAGGTTAGGTTTGGGAAATATTGAGTTAGGCTTCAGGCTAAGGACAGGTTAGGGTTAGGTTAAACTAATAAGGGGGATATTAGAGTAGGTTCGAGATAGATTAGGATCAGTTTAGAGATATTTTCACGTTTGGGTCAGGTTGAGGTGTTATATTGTCACTACATTAATATTATGCGAAAATGTTGCAGTTGATATGGAATGGGAACGTCAATGCTGGACACAGATGCGGTAATCATAACATATCGGACATACACTGAGGAGAGCATCGAATGGCATCGCGCGCAGTGCAGGCTATCGCTTGAGTGGAATCTAAATGGGAACCGGTAACGATTGAGTAGTCGGTGCGAGGGTGACCTGGAGGATGTTGTGTGGCGAGAAGGAGATGAGAGATTATGGGCAATCGTGAGTTCAGCTCAAGAGGACGGCAGGAAATTGAAGAAAGTGGGTATGTATCGTTAAAGCCCTATGTCCCATTGGGAACCTAAGGGAACAATAATAGTGATAATAACATCTTCAACACTAATGCCAAGTCCAGACATTTAGCTTGTTACAAAAAGCATTTCGAACAAGCTACTGGAGACTTATATCAAGAGCTGCCTTTGCTCCACACGGAGGATTAGACGGCTAGCCAGAAAGAATAAGCAGTAGACAAGGAACTCTGTGGAAGAGCCAACCAAGAACCTATTGGTTATTGTTATCCTTAACACCACCAAGCAAGTGCTTCAACAATCTGGGAAAGACCAGTCACCAATCCTCGACACTTCAAATTGCGTATATCAATTTGAGTGTGTTTGTGGAAGCAAATACATAGGTCGTATGGAAAGGCGATTGTCTACTCGCATGATGGAGCATTTACCAAAATGGTTGAAAACAGCTGAGTGCAAAATGCCAAAATCCTCAATAACAATACTCGGCTCCCACTACGTCAGTATCTGATGTCATGCTTTCTAAATTCGAAAATACAAGTGGTAATGGAAATCAATCCAAACTGCCGTCCACAGGTAATAGAATGCAGCGAGAGATCAAAAACATTAAACCGTGTTTTTCCTGTGGAAAGTTACATCTACGAAGCACTTGCCGTTTTCGGGGTGCTAAGTGTCACAAATGTAGTAAAGTTGGACACATGAAGACTGTTTGCAGAAGTTCGAATACTTATGTTACTCAGAATTCTTATAATTCTCCCAATCTGTCTAGTAAAATGGAGTCAATGTGTCTTTCAACCTTTCAAAATACTCAATCTCTTCCAATGGAAAGCTCCACCACAAGTTCAACAACTCAAGTGTCAACTGTTTTCAAAAATGTGGTAGCCGAGTTACAATCCAAACTGTCGAAAACACGAGAAAAACTGAATGAGATGAGAGAGCAACTGATTAAATTGGAGTAATTGTTGCATATGCATAGACTGCGTTTGTTGAATGCAGAACACACAGGTACCCATGAAAGTCCTGCAAAACTTTTCAAATCTCGAATTCTCAGAAAGCATCTGATGTCCGCGACTTCTAATGTACATTATTACAAAGGGAATGACTATAGACCTTCTATTGGTATCATACTACAAAAAATGGGAAATCGAGTGGTGAGAATATTAGGCAAATCAAAGATCACTCAGTTCATAACAGACACCTGGACAAAGTGACAATAAATGAAGTAGGTCATTCTAATTATAATTTTAATGATTCCGCTACTAATCCTGATTTTGTAGATAATTCTGAAATAAGTCCAGATAATACTGATGAAAATAATATCACAGAATCAGTTAGAAGGTGGCAGCTACTTGCAAGCAAGCAAACCGAGACATCGTTATAAATACGCAAGGAGATATTCGACGTGTGGCGGATGTGGTGATTGACAATTTCTATCTCTGTATTGTTTAAATACTTACTGTTGATTGTTAATATGTTTCTTATATGAATTGCATAATAATTCCGCTAAATACAAATTCCTGAGTTCTGCCCTCTCTGTGTTTTGGTTGGATTCGTGTAATTCGGTCATCTTGAAATACTAATATTACGATTACAATAAATTACTACAAAAACACCTTGTGGATTACGGACATGGTATCGACGCGGTCAAGTCATTCACCGTTGTCCGCAAGCAAAGAAACAAGAAGATGCTTGCAATTGCAGAGGCTTGTGCAATTCGAATTTATAAACCAGCTCTCTGTATACAAAAGGAGATGGTCGTGACTCTGAATCTACCATGGTAATACGCTTTACTTATTATTCTCTACTTGTTATTACTATAATTCTACCTCTTATTATTATTGTTATTATCATTATTATGATTCTTGATTCATTTAAAACCATGTTTCATCAGCAAGATTATCTTAACTCACTTCAACACCATTATTATTATTATAACTATTGCTATTGATATTAGTCTGTTTGCAATTCTCGTTATATTCCCTAATGACTAATTGTTTATCTAAGTGATGTCATTGAAGCGTAATGCAATTTATCTTAATTTTGATCTCTCATACTCTCTCTCCCCTTATCTATTTGAACATGACCTGGAAAACATTCGCAACTGTCCCCTTTATGCATGACTAATTCAATGTGGTTTATTTGCCTATCAGTTTTATATCTCCCAATGTAATTTCAAAAGTATATATACATATATCCGTATATGTAGAGTATTCAGCTGACGAGTTCTACCGAAATTTGATGAATCCATCATTAAATCCTGCTTTATTAACCGGCTTTGTTGCTTGTTTTAAATTCGTATCGGGAAATAAATGTATTCAACAACCTATTGCCCAACACAAATACCAGATGAAACGCAGATGGACTAAACTAACACACTGAGGATATGGTTGGGTAACATCATGCCCCAGGACCCAGCGTGAAACCTGAATAGGACTCAAATGACGAGTTGGCCGTGGGTCAGAGGGCGATACACAGGGGAAAGGGGGGAATTGGAAATATAAGTAATCATGTAGCCAGCTAAAGACGACTTCAGAAAACAGGATACAATGGAGTTGAGTTGTTGAAGCCTTCTACTTTACTCGAAACCCAAGGAGAGAAAATATAGTAAGAATGTTATTCATTGATGAATGAATCATATACACTACATGTTTTGTTATTCGGTAACTCACCTTCACCATACTGACTATTACTCTGTGATAGTTTGTCTAATTTAACTAATTCAATTGATGGAGCATATTCATCATCGACACAAACACGTCCAACTAAATTCACAGCTTCATGATACGTTTGTTCTAAGGCTATGCGCATTGTATCCCCAAATCGTATTGACAAGCCATTTGGTAATGACTAAAAACATGACGTTAATAATAATAATAATATCATCAGTAATAATAATTATTGATTGATTCTGTTGTAGATACTGTCAGGAAGAGTAATATCATATATGTCCAAACCAAATTCACTTTTAACAGTTTGAAAAAATTTGGGCATTGGGTATATGATACTCATTATTATAAAAAAGGTTCTTTTTGTATTTCCCAATGAATGAAAAACAAAACAATATTAGATATAGGACTTCAGGTGAACATAGGGTAAACAGAGGTACGTGATGAAGATTCCTGGCCAACACCAACAACAACAACAACAGACAACAATCAGCATCGATGGGAGGAACCTGAAAGAAACAACCTCCTTCACTTACCTACCTGGGAAGGATCGTTTCAACCACAGGTGAACGGAAATTACGAGGATATCAAAGTAAGAATCGGAAAAGCAAGACAAGCTTTCATTACTGTCAAGTCTGTGTGGAGGTCAACAGCACTCAGCATCAAAAATAAGATCCGGATTTTCAACTCCAATGTGAAGCCAGTCAGTGCTACTATACGGATCAGAGACTTGCACTGCGCGTCATAAAGAGCATCTCAAACAAACTTCACACCTTCATCAACAGTTGTCTTCGCTCAATACTCAAGATCACATGGTCAGCCAGAAAAGATCAGCAACAGGGATCTCTGGGAGCAAACCAACACAGCAGGAACCGATTGTGCAACAAATAGGCAGAAGGAAATGGAGTTGGATGGATTGGCCATACTCTGAGGAAACCATCAAATGACATCACTAGACAATCCATTGCTCGAGTGGAACCCGAAAGGGAAGCGGTGAGTTGGTTGTCAGTGCAAGGGTGAGGTGACTTGGAGGAGGTCATGTGAAGAGGAGATGAAAGCGTGTGGGCAGATGTGGAGCGGAGTGAAAAAGTTGGCAGAAAACAGAAGGCAATGGAGGTGCGCAGCTGAAGCCTTATATTGTTCTCGGAATTAAAGGATATAAGAATAATAATAATAATTTAGTTACATCATAACAGATGTATTATGCCTTTGATATTTGGTTTAGTGATTTGATTGTTATTTTAACTTTCAATATGTCTTTTTAACTCGACCTAAGTAGTCTATTTTCTCACCCCTTAACTCTTTGTTTTATATATATGTTGAGATTTTGTAAATTCCGGTTCAATAATACTACTTTGATAAAGCTATTAGCAGTAGCATTAAATAGCGAAACGTCAGCAAGAGCAAAAATATCGTTTTGTTTTTCATTCATTGAGAAATACAAAAAAACCTTTATTATAAAGAGTAATATGAGTATAAATAGTTAAAAATACCCATCTAGACATCAGTGAGAGTTAAGAACAAAATTTTAATGTTCATAAACACTGGACGAGCAAATCTGATTTTCAAGTATCGGTTTTGTAGGGATTCTGTTTGCCTGATTGGTTGGAGGATTTCATCATGAGCTGACATCCATTAGAGAACCATTGGAAAACGCACCGGGAGGAGTACTGGACAGCTGTTTCGTCCTAGTTTGGGACTGTACAGCAGTACTCACAATATGGGAAAGGGGAGGAGTTTGAATGCAAAAAATCAATACAGTTAGACTGCAAAGCCAACGAGTTACCAGTTTTGCATACAACAGCATATCATCTCAATTTTACACTAAAAGAACAATTGGTGTATTGAGTTGTAGGGATCTGAGTTATTTCAATGAAGATTTTACATTCAATTCCTTCACAGTATCCTGATGGTTAGTTAATAGTTTCATTAATTCATGATGAAATTTGAAATCGTTTAAAATCCACACACAAATCAACACCTGAAAACTAACCTAGTGCTCATTAGTGTGACTGCATACAGGGTGTAGTCATCTGAAATTCTACTGGGAAGTTGTGGCCAGTGGTTCGACCAGGTTTGATGTAAGGACAGATATTTACTGATGACATTGGGTAGCGGTCGCCCAGTACATATTCACGAAATGGTAGTGTAACCGTGGAAAACAAGAGACTAGGTAAAGGAATATTTATTCGGAATTCGATACCTCTATTTGGAGAAATTATGTACACCTAATCTGCAGATCGTCATTTCCTGGACAGATCTTCTGTGTTGTGTTACTTCTGCCCCTCATATTGCCTCTTTTTTTGTCTTCTTTGTATGTCCCCCATGTCTTGCCGCAATGCTGAATCATTTGCTATCTGTAAGGTCAAATCTACCTTTCCGCTATTTGATATTTTTCTGCCGATGAACGCCTATTTATATACTACTGATAAAGCTTATCAGTAGCACATGCCACGGCAAGAGTTAGAAGTCATGGGCAATTGGATTCCATCTCGCTGAGTGAATTGGTCAACGACTTCGCCTTGTGATCACCATGGTTCAGTCCCCAGTGGTAGGTGATGGGTGCGTATTGCTGAAATCTTCTAAACAAGGGTTGAAGTAGCTATCCAGCGCTCCCCGATGACTTTCAGTGATTGTCTAACTGAAGTCAATCAGTTTGTGTTATGGACCTGTAGCTAATTGATATAATCTCGTCGACAACTGATATGACTGTGTGGACTTAAGCGTGAGCTTAGTAATACTGGCACAATGAACAGCTCAACTGATATACCAAATACACCTTATTCGATCATGGTGCCTTCCGTTTCACTCTGCCAAGTAAACACCAAAAGACAAAGACCGATCTTCGACTGTTATGATATAACTACGATTAGGAAAAACACCACGTCAAATTTATATATTTTTAACCACATTAAAATCTACCTGCCAAATGTAAGATAATGTTACAGGACTGGACTACACTGACTCCTAGGTTAGAAATAGGAAGTGAAGTGGTAGAGCACGTTGACCGCTTCACTGATTTGGGAAGTACCATCAGCCAACGCCAACGGGTTGATCGCTAACGAGATCTCAGTACGGATACAGAGGGCTAGTTTTGTATACACCAGTTTACGCCGTCTCTGTTGTAGACGTGATATCCGACTCTTGACCAAGGGGCGAGTGTACTGCTCATCAGTCCGCTCCGTCCTCCTTTATGGCTGGCTGTAAGACCTGGCCATTGACAGTGGAAGATATGAAAAGATTAGCTCTCTTCGATCATAGGTGCCTGTGTTCTATCTCCCGTGTGAAGTGGCATTCTTAGGTGAGAAATATTGAGGTTAGGCATCGGTCGAGTTCTAGTTAAGTGAAGAGGGGAAATCAATAGACGAGGACGTGAAATTACATCGACTGAGGTGGATAGGACATGTGTTACGTATGCCTAGTCATCGCCTTCCTCGACGGTCAATGTTAGGTGACATAGGGTCAGGCTGGAAAAGAGCTACTGGCAGTCAAACCAAAACATGTTACCAGTCAATGAAATCCACAACAGTTAGTCTCGGCCACGTAGGAATGTGTAGACTTCCTGGTTGGGGTCCTCGGGACGGTAAAATCCAATGGTTGGAAACAATTGGTGACATGGCTGAAAATCGTTCTCAGTGATGGCGCAGATGCATCCACTTCTTGTGACTTATGATTCCCAATGAAACTGTTTTGTTCCTCGTTATTACTATTCCTTTGTCTCACACCTCTGTTTACTGTCTCTAATATGCATTTCTTCTACTTTCTTCTCTTCTCTTGCTTTATGTGCTACATGAAGTCGAATGTGGCAACTTGAACTGCCGCACGTTTGTGCAAAGTTCTATGTTGAAAACAGACAGACAGACAGACAGACCCAGTTCAGCAGAAAATAGATTGTTCTGATTGGCTGACAACTGGACCAGGACCAAGGTAAGAGAAAAAGATGATGAGATTTTACAGTCAGTCATGGTCAGTTGATCATAAGATGAATCATATAACGAATCACAAGATGACTACCATTTTTTTAAAACCAATTCTTATCAGTTTGTGATCAATTAAACTTAAAATACATAACAGTTAGAAACTTGACAATAATCTTACCTGTACAGGAAATACTGGAAATGTATCCACTTCATGAAATGCAATAAAATAACCGTCTTTTAAATAGGCTGTGCTCTCTGTTTCAGAAGACTGAATAATAGTCGGTTCTTCTTCAACTACCATTAACAATGGACTTGCATTCACTATACCCCGATGGATAATTAAACGTATTCCGTTTGTAGGACCAGCCGGAACAGGTGGAGTTGGTCGAACACGTAAGGTGAAACATCGATAATAGATTGGATGTTCAGTTATAAGAAAATTTTCTAAGCATTCTTGACTTTTAACCTGAAATAATAATTTTGAAAAAATCAGTTCTCTTTATGAATTTAGACAATAGGCAATAAGATGTAATTTGTCTGAATCGTGTAATGTGCATATTTGTGCAACGTATTTCGAACATATAGAAAATCAAAACAAGTGATTCAGCGAAGAGACTCTTTTCAACGAATTTATCATCAAGCTGTACAGTCGTATATATATGGTTTTTAAGAAGTTATATTCGGTGAGGGAATTGAATCTTAGGTGTGAATGCATAAAATAATAATAATAATCATATGAAGTTCAATTAAAACTAAAATGTTTGTGATTATAATCGTAGTTAAATGTCAAGTGGCAAAGCAAATTAATGTCATATATAGAATAATTCATAGGATGGATAGAACTTGAAAAAGGGTGTGCAATTATAGGATTAGTAGACAAATCGAATAAAATAAAAAAACGTTACGTAATATTGTGTGAAATTTAATAGCATAGAATTTATCGTTGTAAAAAGAAGAATTGATTTAGAATGACAAGTGGAACAAGTGAAATAATACCGGGGACAGTTCAAAGTGAGAATAGTAATAATAACAATTGACTTAATAAGGAAGAGTATACAAATTGAATAGACAAAATGAAAAATTGGTAGAGCTAAAATATGATTGGGGATTACCATATTTTAGCATAGAGGGATTAAGACCATGAAAGTTGGAGGGGTTGAACGAACTTTTTCTGTACACAGAGATCTGGCTTTTCTGTTTCGATAGCCAAAGCTTCAGCAATACAGATGAGTCGGGTACGTAGGGATTTAGGTAGATTGCTCTTTGCCTTGTAGATGACTTTAAAGGCGGAGGCTATAGAGATAGGGTGATCATTATCGACCAGATGTTCTATGATCGCGCTTCTTATTGCTCCACTTCCACCTTTTCGTAGCCATGCAGGATAATGTTCTTGCACCCTCTTGGACAAAACTCGAGTCGAACGACCGATATACCTAGCTCCACAAGAGCAGGTGAATTGATAAACGCACATAGAGTTGGTCAACATTGGGATCTTGTCCTTCAGGTTATTGAACAATAATGGTCGGCTAGTAAAAGCTATTCTCAGAGATGCAGCAGGGAATGTTCTTTTCAGGGACTGTGATATCCTTCGTTTCATGATATCGGAAGCTAAGTCCCCTTTGAATTCTAAGCTCATGTAAAGTATTTTCTTGGGAGCGGTTGATAAGTCACGTTTTGTAGGCTTTGAATGTATATTCTTATCTATAAAACGTGGTGGAAATCCATTTTCCATTAGGATTTTCCTCAAAGTGTATAACTCATCTTCCACAGTATCAATGCTACATATGCATCGAATACCAGGTTTCGTTTTCGACCAATAGGTACCCAGCTATAGAAATTTGTCAGTTGACCATTCCATAACAGCCTACGATAAATCGATCTCTTCAGAGTTCCATCGGTCCTTCTTGATAAGTTCACATCGAGGAAATGAATGCTAGACTCGTTCTCCATTTCGAGTGTGAATTTTATCGCAGGATGGCACTCATTAAATACACTTATTATATTATTCAGGTTACAATCAATATTACAAATAATAAAGGTGTCATCTACATACCTTTTATATATTTGAAAGCTTTGGATTATAGGCTTCAGGGAACCATTTTCTAGACTGGACATAAAAACGTCTGCAAGGAGAGGACCCAAGGGAGAACCCATCGCAATACCATCCTTCTGCCTGTAGATTGTTTCATTGAAAGTAAACTGTACATTCAATGTACATCTCAAAAGTAGTTCTTTAAGATCTGTAGTAGGTATCCCTATATTCAATTTGTTGTCTTCAATATATTTGCATATAAAACATATGGTCTCTGTCAGTGGAACGTTCGTAAATAAGGATTCTACATCCAAAGACAACATTTGTTTATTCGACGCATTTATATCCTGTATACATTCAACAAATTGGAAGGTGTCCCGAAGGGAATGATTAGATAGTTGCCCCCTGACTGGTTCGAGGATTTCAGCTAACCACCCAGCTACTGGATGATAGGGCGATCCAGACTTCATATGATTATTATTATTATTTTATGCATTCACACCTAAGATTCAATTCCCTCACCGAATATAACTTCTTAAAAACCATATATATATGACGGCACAGCTTGATGATAAATTCGTTGAAAAGAGTTTCTTCGCTGAATCACTTGTTTTGACATTTCGAACAATCTGATCATACACGGAGGTGTCATAGGAATACGTATATATGAAATTAATAGAGAGTTAAGACGTGAGAAAATAGACTTAGGTCAAGTTAAAAGGACGACATATTCAAGGTCAAAATAACAATGAAGATCACTAAACTAAATACCAGAGGTAATAGTACATCTAACCTGGCTGGCATCAAAGTAACAAGGTTTACCAAGGAAAGTTTAGTGCGATGACGAACTGTTTTCGAACGCATAAAGGTGGTTTAAACTTCCTAAGTGCCAGCTAGGGCTTCCACAAACTTTAGGATATTCTATCCTCCAAACACGTTTTATGGATGGATTGGTTTAAAAAACGTGTAAACATCAATTTTATATCCTGTCTCTAGAATATGCTTCGCAATAGAGGAGCTAGGTCACCTGTTGTCAGCTTTAATGGGTTCTGGAGATTCTATTTGCTTCTGAAGCCGGCCCTTACTTGCAGAAATCGATGAGTCCTCCTCACGTGTATGTGTGGCCACACGTACATTCAAATTGGTAAATACATTGGGATGTGACGTCCTTTTTCGGATGTTCTAAGGGCTTAGATGGATGGATATATCGGCTTCATATACTCAATTATACTGATCTTAGCTGCATAAAAAGTCTTTTTAACCACAGCTATCAACCGTTGTCGAATTACAAAGCTGCTATGCTCACCCACCCACATAGGGTAGCTTGATATATTTTGACCTTCAATATGTCCTTTTAACTTGACCTAAGTCTATTCTCTCACCTGTTAACTCTTTATTAATTTCATATATATATATATATATATATGTATATGGAGTGGACGACTTCCCCTGATATACAGTGTACTAGCTTCTTCCTGAGAAATAAGAATGCACCCATTTGACAACCCAACAGTCAGTTTGAGTTTCAGCAAGCTTCTTTAACAAAATATCCCTAGGTACTGAGTTGAAAGCAGATGTGTAATCTAGGAAGGTGCAGCGAACAAATTTAGCCCCCTTGTCTAAACTGGAGACAATGTTATGATGCAAGACTGAAGCTGCATCTAAAGTACTTCTACTGTGTTTATAGACGAATTGCTTGGGATTGTTGAAGGCTTTTAGTGAAGGTTCAAGATTTAGTAGGAGCAGCTTTTCCACAGTTTTTAGAAAAGGAGATGTAACAGTAATAGGTCTAAGTTTAAAACATGTTCCAGTAGATGACTAAGGTATAAGTACAACTTTGATGTCCTTCCAAACGGCTGGCACGACATTTCTGGAAAAAGATTCATTAAATTTGTCCATGAGAGGATAACACAGGATGTGTGCACATTTTTTAAGAATAACACTAGGCAAACCGTCTGGGCCAAGGCTACAAGAAGAGTTCAGAGACTGGAGATATTTTTGAACATCATTTGTATTGAAACCAGGGAAGCAGGTTTCATTAACACTTGTAACACTAGAAAGTTTGGCATTTGTGGGAGAATATATGAAAGACTTGTTTAGTGTGCAAACATCAAAGGAATAAGGAATACTATTCATCTGCTTACCACCAGTAATTTCTTTAAAAATTTTCCATATATTAGATGCATTTTCACAAGATATAAACTTTTGGTTGTAAATTGAATTCAACCTGTGCATTTCAGATTTTATTAGGATGTTAATTCTTTTCAAACCAGTATTATCCTTCATTTTATATAACTTTTCTTTTCGCCTGCGAAGCTTATTGAGTTGAGGGGAGGAGAAATGGCTAGTTAGTTTTGATATAACATCCTAAGGAAACCCCATCCCCTCCCAACCAACCAAGTATTTAACAAAAACTAGTGTTTATACTCATATCATCAAGTATAACTGCAAAATAATCGAAACTTGAATTGTATAGTTCCCATTCTTCTTTCCTATTTGTTGTACGGGTAGTCGAGTTCTGCATATACCCAGGATAGGTGGTATTCAATTGATTTATATGAGTTGAAAATCTACAACAAACACGATCTTCCAATGTTGTATTGCATCAACAAAAGTAAATAAGATGGAAAGTGAAACACTAATGTTTACAGGTGAGCAACATGGAGGTTAGGCGTCGAGTTCTAGGTAAACAGGGGAAATCAATCGACGAAGTCGTGAAGCTACAAAGACTGAGATGGTTAGGACATGTGTTACGTATGCCAAGCCATCGCCTCCCTCGACGAGCAATGTTAGCGGATATAGGGTCAGGCTGGAAAAGAGCTAGTGGCGGTCAAACAAAAACTTGGCCTCGCCAGTCAATGAAATCCACAACAGTTGGTCTAAGCCACGTAGAAAGGTGTAGACTTCCAGGCTGGGGTCCTCGGGACGGTAAAAATCTATGGTTGGAAACAATTGGTGAAATGGCTCAAAATCGTTCTCAGTGGCGCAGATGCATCCACTCCCTGTGACTTATGATCTTCAATGAAACTGTTTTGTATTTCTTTATTACTCCTTTGTCTCACACCTCTGCTCACTGTTTCTATTATGCTTTTCTTGTACTTTCTTCTCTTGCTTCGCGTGCTACACGGAATGTGGCGACTTGAACTTCCGCACATTTGTGCAAAGTTCTATGTCGAAAACAGACAGACAGACAGACAGAAAACCTACACAATTAAAACCTACACACAATCGGATCATTCCGTCCAAAATGTCAGCAACTATAGGGATTAGCGAAATGTTTAAGTAATACAGAGAGCACTACATGCAGTTACACACAACCATACAATAGGCTAGATGGGATAGGATGACAGTTTTAAAACCTGATGTGACAGGGTGGAGGAAGAGATTGATAACAGAAGCTTTATTTATCGAATCAACTGCGAACAGGTGGAATA